GTATGGGTACTCAGAGTTGTTCTTTCCTTGAGTGATATGCTTCAATCCTAGAGGTAGAGGCTGTTCTCTATATCTTCTATCCCTGTATTCTCTAGAGGTTTTGTTTTTTTTTTTTTTTTTACCTTTTCTTGCAGGTATTCTTCTGTTTTAATAATTTTCTGGGCTAAACTTCCCTCTTCAGATTACTGTTGATTTGACCCTAATTGATACATTATATTTCCCAATAGGGATTAAATTTAAACATAAGTCTTTTCTGGTAGAAGAGATGATGTCACAAAACTAAGGAAATATGGACAAGACAGTGGGACTGTCAGCTATTAGACTTCATCAAAGAGATCTGGAGGGGACAGGTTTGAGCACAACTCTGAAGCATATAGGCTACATGCTTATACATTTCTCCAGCACAGCTCACCATACACTCTGAAGGCTTCAACATGCATCTCTGTTAATGCAACAAGACCACTGCATTAACCACACCAGCATGTACTAACAATAAAATGTGTCAGCAATATTAACAAAATTATTCCAAGATCCTCAAATGTTAACATGCATCATAATCCTCTATGAGAGCCTATTAAAGGAGAAGATAACCTAACCAACACACAACAACAAAACTAATTCAGTAAGTCTGATTTGGAGCTCTGAAATGTGCATTTGTAATAGGTATCTTAGGTGATATTTAAACATGGTCCATCAATTATACTTTAAGAAATATTCATTGAAAGGCTCAAGATAATACAAATACTTAGAGAATGTGATCATATACACTTAATTAAGAAAATATCAAGTAATTGTGGGTTGAAACACTGAAAAAGTTGGAATTCAAAATCAGAAGTTTAATTGTATACTGAAATTCCTCCCAGTGAGTATGAATTCATAACTCAGGATTTTAAGCATACTATAGATGATGGATATTGGCACAAAGATGTAACCATTAGATACAGAGTAAAGTTGACACATTTGACAGCTATTTAGGACATAAAATTAAAAAGATACAGATTTACCCAGTTGGATAGTATTACTACCACTCACTAGGACAGGGAACACTGGAAGAGGGATGAGTTTAGTAGGGGGAAATTTTATTTTGATCTATTGGGCTTAAGGTAGAATAATTTAGTAGGTTAATTAGACACATGTCTGGAGTTCATAGCAAGAGGTGTATATTTCTAAATTATTATCATAAAGATAATAATTGATAATACTTGATAAAAGATAATAATTGATAATACTTGAGTGGAAAAAAATGGGATGATTGTCTAAGGGGGAAAGTTTGAAACAAAAAAATTTAAAAAAGGAAGACAGGATGAAATCTTGAGGCACTCCAGTATTTAATGGTTAGATAAAGGTAACTCTAAAAAAGGAGACCACCAAAGAGGTAAAAAATAAAATAAAATAAAATAAAATAAAAGCCTGGAAAGTATAATTCACAAAACCCAAAGAAATAGTTTTCTACAAATAAGGAAGTAATCAATAATATTAACTATAGCCAATGTAAATAAAATTGCCTATTGAATTAGCAACATACAAAGAGAATTATGTATAACTAGAGGCCTGGTGCACGAATTCATGCATGGGTGGGGTCCAGCCGGCCTGCCCCAATTGAGGCCAATCAGGGCTGGGCTGGCCAGGGGGAGGGGCTATGGGCAGTTGGCTGGCTGGCTACTCCCCCAATTGGGGTGGGGGGCAATTGGGGAAGGGGCCTGCCAGGGGGAGGGGCCACGAAGGTTGACCAGCAGGGGGTACTGCAGGAGGTCAGCCAGCCAGCACCGCCCCCGATAGGTTTGGGGGCCAATTGGGGCCTCAATGCACATCAAAGCAACTGGTCATTCTGGTCATTCTGGTTGTTCCAGCATTCCAGTCATTTGGCTTTTATATATATATAGACTAGAGGCACAGCACACGATTAAATCATACATGTGTAGGGTCCCCTAGGCCTAGCCTGCCATCATGGCCATGTCCGCCACCCCATGACGCCTCACACACTGCGCAGATGCTTCTGGCACCCCACGACACTCCCCTGATGCTGCTGGCACCCCAGGGGATTGGGGGAAGGGCCCAAGAGGAAAGTCCATACTGTTTTCCACAGTGGCTGCATCAGTCCGCTTTCCCACCAACAGTGTACCAGGGTTCCCTTTTTTACACATCCTCACCAGCTCATGTTTTTGATTTGTTGATATGCATTGACAGGTGTGAGGTGGTAGCTCATTGTCATTTTAATTTGCATCTCTCAGAAGATCAGTCAATTTGAGCATTTTTTCAAATGTCTCTTGGCCTTCTTTATGTCTACTTTGGGGAAATGTCTATTTAGGTCCTTTGTCCATTTTTAAACTGGATTGTCTTCCTTTTGTTAAGTTGTATGAGTTCCTTATATATTTTGGATATTAACCATTTATCAGATATATCATTGCAAAATACGTTCTCCCAGACAGTGGGCTCCCTTTTCATTTTGTTGATGATTTCTTTTCTGTGCAGAAGCTTTTTATTTTGATGTAGTCTCATTTGTTTATTTTCTCCTTAGTTTCCTTTCCCCTAGGAAATGTATCAGTAAATATATTGATGTGATGTCTGAGATTTTGCTGCCTATGGTTTCTTCTAAGATTTTTATGGTTTTACAACTTACATTTAAGTCTTTTATCCATTTTTAGTTTATTCTTGTGTATGGTGTAAGTTGGGAGTCTATTTCATTTTTTTGCATGTATCTGTCCAATTTCCCCAACACCATTTATTGAAGAGACTGCATTAACTCTGTTGTGTACTCTTTCCTACTTTGTCAAATATTAATTGAGCATAACGGCTTAGGTTAATTTCTGAGGTCTCTGTTCTGTTCCATTGATCTATATGCCTGTTCTTCTACCAGTACCAGGCTGTTTTGAATAGTGACCTTTTTATTTGGTCCCATATAAATTTTGAAGTGCTTGTTCTAGATCTGTGAAATATTCTGTTGGTATTTTAATAGGAATTGCATTGAATCTATAGATTGCTTTGGGTAGTATGGACATTTTACTGATGTTGATTCTACAAATCCTTGAACA